GACAAATCGTCGTCGTCAACGTAATCGTCGTCGAAAACATGTGGATGTCTCAGGCGATGCGGTTGCTTCTACTGGGAAATGTGAGGGTGCATCAAACGACGTGGCCAATTCAATTAGGAAATGTGAGGATGTCTCCAGCGATTTCGCCAATTCGATTAGGACACGCGAGGATTGATCAGGCCATTTTGGACATTGTAATCATAAATGTGAGGGAGTCTCGAGCGATATGGCCAATTCTAGCAAGAAATGTGAGGATGTTTCGGGCGAGTTTGTCAATTCTGATGGGAAATGCTAAAAGTATGAGGCGAATTGTCGATTTCCTCGTCTTCCTCGTTTACTCTTCGTTATGATTCGTTTGTTTTGTCCGATGAGGTTTCGGTTGGAACTCTTTTTAAGGAAATGTGTTTTTCTGGCTGTCGTACGGGGTGGTCCATCCGACGGTATCCTCCCCGCTCCGCGCCGCGGCGATATCGCCGTCATCGACGTAAGCGTCGCCGAAGACATGAATTCTCCTGAAATTGTCCTCTTCTCCTGTTCTTGCTCTTGAACGCCCTTCTCCTTCTCTTTCTCCCCCAGTCGTCTTTATTATCCTGCCTCTTCTGAGAAGTCTGCGGACGTCTCAGGCAAGTTGGTCATTTGAACTAGGAAGTGCGAGGATGTCTCAAGCGATTTGGCGAATTCGATTAAGAAATGTGAAGACGTCTCAAGCGAATTCGCTTATTCAATGAAGAAATATGACGATGTTCCAAGCGATCTGGCAAATTCCACCATGAAATGTGAGGATGTCTCAAGGAAATTGGCCGATTCTACTAAAGACATGCATGAATGACGCAATTGAATCTGCGACAGCTGAATCGATTTGACAACGAGCAAGAAGCACTGATTGAAGCAGAGAATCTGTAGACAAATACCTGAATCTGAAACAACCGAATCGAATTAACAACGATCCGTTGCAAGCTGTTTTTTTGGGGACGAGCGATCTCGTTGGAACGCTGGAATCATCTTGCTGGAACGCTTGAGCTCTGAAAGGGCGGCATGCACAGGCAGGAACTTTCCTGAGCAATGAAAGGTTGCCCTGATATTGCCAGAACTGTCACAGGCACAGGCAGGAACTCTCCTGAGCACTGAAAGCATTGGGGAAGGAGAGAGAGAGAGGAGGAAGGAGGAGGAGAAGGATTAAGAGCTTGGCAGAAAGAGAAGGAGGAGGAGGGCGAGGATCTGAACCGGAAGGGAAGAGGAGGAGGAAGAGGAGGGGGAAGAGGGCGATGCTAAGCTAGGAAAACACAAGGAAACCAAGGAAAGGCTAAGAGAAACTGAGAAAGACAAGACAAATCAACATCTGAAACGCTAGGCGAGTACGAGTAGACGAGTAGGCCGACTTTCTGAAGAAATGCGAGGATGTCTCAGGCGATTTGGCAAATGCTTACAAAACTGCGAGGATGCCTCAGGCGATGTGGCCAATTCTATTTAGAAATGTGAGGATGTCTGAAGCGATTTGGCCAATTCTATTAAGAAATGTGAGGATGTCTCCTGCGAGTTGGCTAATTCGATCAAGAACTGTAAGGATGTTTCAAGCGATTTGGTCAATTCTACAAAGAGATGTGAGGATGGCTCAAGCGAGTTGGTCAATTCTATTTAGAAATGTGAGGGTGCCTCATGTCATTTGGCCAATTCGACAAAGAAATGTGAAGATGTCTCAAGCGATTTGGCAAATTCTATTAAGAACATGAGAATGTCTGATGTAAGTTGGCCGGTTCTACTGAGAAATGTAATGATGTGTCAGGCGATTTGGCCAAGTCTGTTAAGAAATGCGAGGATGCCTCAGGCGATTTGGCAAATGCTGATAAGAATTGCGAGGATGTCTCAGGCGATGTGGCCAATTCTAATAAGAAATGTGTGGATGCCTCATGCGATTTTACAAACTCTACTAAGACATGTGAGGACATCTCAGGCGATCTGGCCAATTCTAATAAGAAATGTGAGGGTGCCTCAGGCAAGCTGGCAAGTTCTATCTGGATATGTGAGGACGTCTCAAGCGATGTGGCAAATCCTATTAAGAAACGCGTTGATGTCTCAGGCGATTTAAGCAATATGTGAGGATGTCTCAAGCGAGTTGGCGAAGTTTCGTAAGAAATGCGAGGATGTCTCAAGCTATTTGGCCCATTCTCGTACGAAATGTGAGGATGCCTCAGGCGATTTGGCCAATTCTGTTAAGAAATATGAGGATGTCTCAAGCGATTTGGCAAATTCTACTAAGACATGTGAAGATGTCTCAGGCGATTTGGCCAAGTCGATTAAGAAATGTGAGGATATCTCAAGCGATTTTGCCAATTCTATTAAGGAATGCGTTGATGTCTCAGGCGATTTGTCTCCTCCTCCTCTTCCTAGCCTCAGGTGCTAGAATAACGCTTCCAGTGCCGGGGGATATCGTTTCGCCGGAAGGGGGGGGGATTCTTAATTGCTTCCTCGGGTTAGTCCCACTCATACTCACACCCATTCATACCCTCACTCAATCACATGGACTCAGAATGACCTATACCCAGACTTACGAGCACCCAAACAGTCACCCCTAGGCTCACTCATACCCAGAGTCGCATCTTACTTGACTTCTGAAGAACGGGGTTCGTTTGTCGGGTCCGCAGCCTTGTTGCCGCCGTCGACGCCCCGTCGCCGCCCGCCGCCTGGGCTTGTGTGTCGGGTCCGCCGCCCTGTTGCCACTGTCGCCGCCCGTCTCGACGTCTCGACGACGCCAGTCATCGGGGCGCATCTATCGAGTCCGCCGCCCTGTTGCCGCCGTCGCCGGCCCGCCGCCTTCTCGCCGCCGCCCCACAGATTGTACAACCTGGACTGCACCGTGCAGATCGCACCACGTAGATTGCCCCACATAGGACCTCCAACAAATCCAGACTCTACCCCCCAAACCCCCGTGTTGGATCGGCAGCCCCGAGGCCATGGTGTCACCGCGCGGCCGCAGGAACCTCGCGCGGGCCTCTCGGGAGGGGACGGCAGAGGGCGCCAGGAGGCCCCGAGAGCGGCATGGGGAGGCCCCGGGAAGCTACCTTTATCTCGGGCTGGTCCCCCTGCAAGGGGATTTTCGATGAAGGAAAAAGATACCCCCAAAAATACCCCAACAAGGCCAAAAAATACTCAAAAAATAGTCCCCAGACTACTTTTGGACTATTATTTTACTATTCCTGGGGTATTTTTTATTTTTCGTCGAAAATCCCCCTGTAGGGGGACAGGCCCGACTTAAAGCTACCTGCGAGGATCAAGACCCCTCCTCCGAGACACCTCAGTGCCACAGGGCGCCCGCCCAGGGGTGGGGGCTCAATGAGGCCCGCGAGAAGCCCAGGAAGCCTCAGGAGGCGTCAGCAAGCCCCAAGGAACCCAACAGAGCATCCCCCCAGGACGTCCCCGGAGGCCCTCGGAGGCATCAGGGAGCCTCAGGAAGCGTCGAGGAGCCTCCAGGGGCCCCAGGGGCGGTCAGGCTGTCCGTTGGCAAACTGCACGCCTTGCGGTGCGGCCCGAACCAAACCTCTCCGAAGCCCACACGCGAGGCTCGATGCAGGAGGGGGCTGCCAAGAGCGTCCAGCAGAAGCACGACACCTCGGACCAAGAGGGAGAGGCGATGGGGCGGGGAAGTGGAGGAGGAAAAAAGGGAGGGGGAAATACAGTCGAGGCGTTGACCTAAGGAACCCTAAATCAGGAACGAGGCCCCTTTTTCCCATAAGTTCAACCTCGATTTCCCATGGAAACCTCGGGAAAACCCGAGGCAAACTTTGAAACAATCAAGGAACACCGAGCCCCTCCCCAACGAGAAGGGTTCCTTCTTCAGCGCCCCGACTGTAGGACGGAGGGAGGAGGACAGAGGGGAGAAAGAGGAGCGCGTGGGGAGGTGGTCGGGAGCCTGAGAGAGCCAGCAGCGCGCCCGTTTCTCTCGCCGCCATCGTCCAGGCTATGCCACGGTGCGCTGGCCATCGCTCGGACGTCCATTTCCCGTGCATTCGTCGGTTTCGGGCGTGGTTTTGTTCGCTCGATGGTCCAGGATGGTCCTCGATGGTTCTCGCGGAGAACAAATGCACACGTCCGAGCGATGCCAGGCTCGAGCGACTGGGCGACCTTGAAAAAAACGGTTCCGAGTGCAGCCGGTCCGCACGTGCACGCGCCCGACGGGGGCCCAAAGAACATGCACCACCACCACCACCACGTCGATTCTTCCTTTCTCCTCTGTCCAGCGAGAGGGGGGGGGAGGTGATAATATTAATGGTGCATAGTTGTTGGCCCCCCACCTGAGCAAGGCCCCGCTGAATTATTCGGCACGGCTGTCTGCACTCCGCGGCGGTCCGCGGCCTGTGGCTGCGGAGAAAGCGCCGGTCGGCGGCGGTGGGCGGGGGAGGCCGGCGCGTGCACCTGGCGGGGTCTACAGTCCACCCGTACAGTAAGGATGCGCGAGAAGGATAATTGGAAGGCAACTACTGGGAGGTTCTCGTCGGAAATATTAGGGAGGATAAACCACACTTGGGAGCTTTTACGCCCGAGTGGACCTCGGATTAAACGGGATTAAGCTGGATTAAGCGGGATTAAGCGGGATCAAGCGGGATTCAGCGGGATTAAGCCGGATTTCGGACCAGGGCAAAATCAGAATTTGACCTCCCAGGAGTTGCATCCGAAAGGATGCAAGGCCCTTGGAAGCCTATGTCGAAGTTTTCGAGCGGGGCGCGGCCAACGAACGTCGCCAAGGATGGACCGAGGATGCAAGGATGCAAGGGTACCCTTGGGAAGGCTGCCCGTCCTTGCTATGCGGGTTGCCTGTGTGTGTGTGCTCAGAGCGCAGCCCAGCAGCGCATGCAGGAATGCCGTCAGCGCGTTACAGTCGGGGCCCTGAAGAAGGAACCCTTTTCGTTGGGGAGGGGCTCCGCGTTCCTTAAGTGTTTCACAGCTTGCCTCAGGCTTTCCTTATGTTTTCGACAGGAAATCGAAGGTTAACTTATGGACAAAAAGGGGCCTCGCTCCCTATTTAGGGTTCCTTAGGTCAACGCCCCGACTGTACCAATTCAGCGCCCCAACGCATCACAGACAGCGCAACCTGCGCCGGCGCGTGCGGCAGCGCTTAATTACTTACCAGCCCTCGCGGGGAGCGCTGGCTGCAACCGATATAGGGAGAACTGCGGGCATCATGGGCACGAGGTCGCCTGCATCGCCCCTCCAACCCACTCCTCCTCCTCCTCCTCCTCCTCCTCCTCCTCCTCCTCCTCCTCCTCATCCTCCGCTTCCTCCCCCCACTCCTAGCCCTTTCGATCAGGGTCGGCGGCACCGGCCGTCAGGCCTCTCCAATTCAGGAAGAATTCAGATGAGGGTTCTCTGCTGGGGCCACCAATACGGCGACCTAAACGCATTGGCATGTCTTTACCTGGATCTGGCAGGAACTGGTCCCCCAGCATGGATCACAAGACGCCAGTCCTCCCGCCATGATCCCTGCGGTAACGATCGCATGGGCCACCACAAATCCCAAGACGCACGAACATTGTCCGCAGAGACCGTATGGGCTGGACCCAATGGGCCTCGGCGAAACCCAACATACACGTTCAAGTAAGGCTGCGCACAGAACACGAACCTGGTGATTTCAGCGCTATCAAGGGGATAGCGAGGCGGAGACTCTGTGGAAGAGCTGCATGGGCCACCACGAGACAGAACACAGATGGCAAGTCAGGACACACGCACCCATGGGAAGGAAAAATGCTTCCCAAAAAACGGCCACACGGGGGCAATCCAAGGCGCGGCCCTAATGGAAGACAACCGACATCTCCAGCAGGCAGACAACCCAAGGATTGATCCTGTATTGGCGGTGCCCTTGGACAACGAGGGCGGCACCATATGAGCAAAGACCAGGGGTTTTGACAGCAGATGGGTCACATCAAAGGCTGGACGCTGCGTTAGGAGGCAACTACTAGGAGGTTTTCGTCGGAAAGATTAAAGAGGATCAAGCCACAATTGGGGGGCTGTTACGCCAGAGTGGGCCTCGGATCAAGCGGGAATAAGCGGGATTAAGCAAGATTAAGCCGCTTACCAGGGCTGAATCAGAATTTGACCTCCCAGGAGTTGCATCCAAAGCTGCGGGCGAGACTTGGACAATCCGGCAGACGCAAAGGGCAAGATCTGCTGAGCAGGGCCGAGCGACGAACAGAAAACAGAACAACAAACAGGCCACCAATGGCGGGACCAGGTAGGCGACGACCAGAACGTCCAACAAACGGGATCACTGAAGGGGGGCAGTATGGGCGGAACCGGAAAGGACGGGCATCAAAGGAGGGAACTGTGGATTGGACCTTATGGCGACCGTCTAAGTATTGCAAGCACTGTTTAATCAACATGCCTCTTTCCTTGGATCAAACTGGATTGTCTGCCAGTCTATGACCCCGACTATGCAGGGGGAGGCGTGGCGTGGCTGACTCACACGCCCCCGAAACGCGCCTCGTGCAGCTCCATGAGCGCGCCAAGGACCACGGTCTTGAGCCCCGTCCCGGGTCCCAGGGCGCACGCCTCGCACATGCTGGACAACTCTGCCTTGCGAAGGCGGGTCAGCTTGCCGCGGGTCCACTCGCTCATGGGCAGCATCTCGGACGCAGCGAGAGCGCTGTCCATCGACGCCCACCTGTTCGCCTCTGCCGCTGCCTCCGCCAGGCGGGCCTCCTCCGCCAGCCTGGCCTCCTCCGCCAGGCGGGCCTCCTCCGCCAGGCGGGCCTCCTCCGCCGCACGGCGGGCTTCCTCCGCCAGGCGGGCCTCCTCAGCTAGCCTCGCCTCCTCCGCACGGCGGGCCTCCTCCGCCAACCGGGCCTCCTCTGCTAGCCTGGCCTCCTCCGCCAGGCGGGCTTCCTCCGCCAGCCGCGCCTCCTCCGCGAGCCGGGCTTCCTCTGCCAGCCTCGCCTCTTCCGCCAACCGGGCCTCCTCCGCCAGGCGGGCCGCCTCCGCCAGCCTCGCCTCCTCCGCCAGCCGGGCCTCCTCTGCTAGCCTGGCCTCCTCCGCCAGGCGGGCTTCCTCCGCCAAGCGCGCCTCCTCCGCGAGCCGGGCTTCCTCTGCCAGCCTCGCCTCTTCCGCCAACCGGGCCTCCTCCGCCAGGCGGGCCGCCTCTGCCAGCCTCGCCTCCTCCGCCAGCCGGGCCTCCTCTGCTAGCCTGGCCTCCTCCGCCAGGCGGGCCTCCTCCGCCAGGCGCGCCTCCTCCGCCAGCCGGGCCTCCCCCGCCGGCCCGGTCTCCTCCGTCGGCCTGGCCCTCTCCGCGTGTCGGGCATCGTGCAGCTCCATGAGCGCGCAGAGGACCACGGTTTTGAGCCCCGTCCCGGGTCCCAGGGCGCACGCCTCGCACATGCTGGAGAGCTCTGCCTTGCGAAGGCGGGTCAGCTTGCCGCGGGTCCACTCGCTCATGGGCAGCATGCCAGCCTCGGCCAGCGCGTCGTCTATGGACGTCCACCTTGACATGCCGGGAGTTGGACATGAATTGAGGGGGGCGATGCCCAACAGCAGAGTTTGTCAGACACCCGCAAGGGCATTCACCATGAGAGGACACGACGCTCACAGTGGGACCTGACAGCGATTTGCGCAGTACGCAGAACCTGTCCTGACATGAGCGGGAGCTTCTCGCACTGTCTCGTGCAACGAGACGAAGACTGTTAGCAGTGGATGTGGAGGCTTCCTGCATGCACGAAGGACGCTGAGAGGAGCCTCGGGAGGTGTGGAAGGGCTGGGAGGGGAGCAGGTACAGTGATCACGCATCATAAGGACGCGCGGTAAGGATGCAAGGCCTTGGAGGCAACATGTGAACGTTTATCGATCGAGGCACGTGCTGCGCGAAGCGCGACGAACAACTTCCCGCTCTCGCGCCGCCCCACCCCCCGCGGGAGAAGAGGAGCCGCACCGCGAAGCGCCAAGCGCGAATCACTTCGCGCCCTCGAGGGCGCCCTCGGGGTCCCCACCCGAGTTCCGGCGCCCCGACCACCTTGAAGGGCCCCAAGGACACACACACACACACACACACACACACATGCACACAAATCACAAGATTCCCTATATTTTTCCATATTTTGGGGATTTTCGTCTTCACCCCCACTTCCCATATTTTCCAATATTTTTCAGGCGTTGGCAGAACTGGGTTTAGTGGAACCTGGTTTTGTGATCTGTACCGGGGGCGCCCCCCCGTCCCACTTCCACTAACCGGAACTGCCGTCACCCGACAAAAACACAAGCTATGGCAAACCTGGTCTAGTGATGCTGGCCGATTCCCAGGCTCCAGGGCCATACCACTCACCGGGTCCCCTTTCCTGGGGTCCTGGCCATACCCGGATGTTCTGGGGAATCGACGATGAATTGCTTTTTTCTCCACAACCAGAACCCGTGAACATGAAAAGTGACCACAAAGAAGCTCCCTGCAAGTGCATGCTGAGCGTAATTTGAAAGGCGCATCGGGAACTGCTTGGAATTGATCTAGCTTAACACTGCGTGACGATACAAGGTCGGCGCAGTGCCCGGAGGAGGCGGACGAGCAGAGGAAACCAGAGGTGGAGGGAGGAAACGAGGAAAGAAGGAGGAAAGATGGAGGAAACGATGAATTGTGTCTGTGTTTGTTTCCCTCCTGACACCTCTCGGCCATACCCGCATTTTCTGGGGAATCGACGATGAATTGTGTCTGCGGTGTTTCCATCCTGCACACAAATCAATGCACACAGATCACAGGATTCCTCATGTGTTTCCATATTTTGGGGGGATTTTCCTCCTCCCCCCCACTTCCCATATCTCCCCATATTCTCTGGAGAATCGACGATGCATTGTGTCTGTGTGGTTTTCGGGAGCTGCCAAGAGGGGGGTGTCCAAGAGGGGGGGGTGCAAATCATGACCGGCGGCACGTGCGCGGCCCAGCGGGGAGGCCAGGGACGCCATGAAACAAGAAGAGGCGCCATGAGGAAAAATCATGGCCCCCGCCATGAGATCCCCCCCCCCCCCCCAGTCATCACCCCCCTCTTTTCCGCCCCCGAATACACCACCGCCCTCCCCTGAGGCCCAGAAACAGCCCATCGGAGGGCGTCTGTGCAGATTTGCTGTGGCGGAAGGAGGAGGCGGAGGAGGAGGAGGAGAAGGAGGAAGAGGAGAAGGATAAGGAGGAGGAGGAGGAGGAGGAGGAGGAGGAGGAGGGAGGAGGAGGAGGAGGAGGAGGAGGATCCCCCCCCTCTGTTCCGCCCCCGAGGTTTCTTCCCCCCCCGACACCTCTCGGCCGCCTCGCCGCCCGCCGAGCGCCCGCCGGCCCCTCGCCGCCGGCCGCGGGCCCCGCGCGCGCTGGCGCCGCCGGCTCGGCCGCCGGCTCGGCCGCCGGCTCGGCCGCCGGGCCCCCCAGCAGCAGCTCCCGCACGGACTGCGCCCGCCGCGCGCCCGGCGGCGCGCCGCCGGCGCCGTGGCCGCCGCGGCGGCGCCTCGGCCGCTGATAGGAGGCAGCTGCTGGGAGGTTTTCTCGTCGGAGGGATGAAAGAGGATGGGAGGTTTTCTCGTCGGAGGTTTTCTCGTCGGAGGTTTTCTCGTCGTCGGAGGTTTTCAATACATGCTCCGCGTGCGGATCACGTATGATAAAAATGCGAAGGAACGATGAGTTCATGCCTCATGCTATTCATAAGCTAGCCATGTCTTACAATCCAACAGGTTTAAAAAATCATATGTTTTAAAAACTGCCTTGTGCTGGGAAGTTTTGTCGTCGGAAGGATGAAAAAGGATTAAGCCCCTTTGGGGGGCTGTTGTGCCGGAGTGGGCCTCGGATTGAGCCAGATTAAGCGGGATTCAGCGCGAGCAGGCGGGATCGAGCGGGATTCAGCGGGATGAAGCCGGATTTCGGACCAGGGCAAAATCAGAAGTTGCCCTCCCAGGAGTTGCAGCCGAATCCCGCGGCAGCGGTGGGGCCACCCGAGCAGCACAGAACCCGCCCCCCCCCCCGTGCTCAGGTGCTGCCAGAAGTTGAAGGGGCCCTGGGGCACACAAACAAGTACACACAAATAACAGGATTCCCCATGCCTTCCTGTATCTTCTTGGGTTTTGCCTTCCCCCCCACTTCCCATAGTTTCCCATATGTTCATGGGAATCGAGCATTCGCTGTGTCTCTGTGGGTGTTTTTTCCCCTCCAGACAGACGTGCCCTCGGCCCAGGGCGCCCGCCGGGCTGTCCAGGGAGGCCCACGCGGCCTCCAGGCGGCACCCCCCACCACGAGGCCCCGAGGGGGCCCTTCGGGGCTCCCACACGGGGCGGGAAGCTGGGGGGGGGGAGCTGGGGAAGCGTTCAGTCGGGCCTGTCCCTCTACAGGGGTGATATTCCAAAACAGTCGAAACATAGCCTGGGGACTATCGTTTGAATAGTTTTGGACCATGTGGGAGCATTTTCTTACTATTGCATATTTCTCGTCCAAATTAGGGGTACATACAAAAAGTGACCTAAACATAAAAACTCGGGGGTCCGTGCGGATTTCTCGGATCGGCGCTGTACCCCCCTCCCTGGCGCGCGGAGCGCGCTGGGGGCGGCGCTGGAGGCGCCGCCAGGGGGCCCCAGCGCCGATCCGAGAAATCCGCGCGGACCCCCGAGTTGTTATGTTTACATCACTTGTTGTTCCCATAACCGTGGGCCGCGGGAACCTGTGGCAGCCCCTCCCCTGCGAGGCGAGGACCCATGCAAAATGGTCCACCACCAAGGGAGGCGGGGATTGGAGGAGACCAGGGGGGCGGTGGACACGGACACACGTTTGGGCACAAGAAATGGGTAAGGAAAGAATGGACCAATGCCCAACAACAAATGTTGCCCCAAGCCAACAGCGGCCGCTGTTGGGCAGGCGGCCTTCTTCTGTCTCGAATGGACACAGGCGGCGGCGGCGGCGTGGACAGCGAGTCCTGTTCAAAATGAACGTGATCCGCTGTTGGACATTGTGCCCATTCTTTCCGTGCCCATTTCGTTCATGCATAACACTGGGCCCCCCCCCCTGGGGCCCAAAGAAACCCTATCCACTGCCTCCCGGGGTCCAGGAAGATCGGTGAGTACAGTGGGGGCCCGACCACAAGACACATTCCCCACAAGAAGCCCAAGCCTGAGACCCTGGGACGTCCACTGATGTTTGGTGTGGGAGCGTCACGCTTTCCAGAGCAAGACCATAGTCACCCTGGAGGCAAGCATATTCCCCGCCGCGGACCCCCGATCGGGGTCGACCCCCGACGCCTGCCCGCTGTGCGGTTGCCGATGGAAACAGCACGCGCGCAGGCGGTCGGAGGGTCCGCGTGGACGTCTCTGGGGTCGGCGCTGGGCCGCCGGCCCCGGCGCGCGGAGCGCGGCGGGGGATGACGCTTCCGGCTGGCCCCAATCCCACGGTCGGGCCCCCAACCCCTCTGGGAACAGGGCCCCGATTCAGAACGCAGCTTGCGCCTGAAGAGGCCCCGATTCAGGGGATGACGCTTCCAGCTGGCCCCAATCCCACAGTCGGGCCCCAAGCCCCTCTGGGAACAGGGCCCCAATTCAGGACGCAGCCTGCGCCTGAAGAGGACCCTGCGCCACAGGCTTCCGGGGCCGCAGGGGGGAGACGAGGGAGGGGGGGAGGGCGGGGGGGGGGGAAGTGGCAAGGGGGGGAAGGGACGGGGAGACGAGGGAGAGGGAGAGGGCCGGGGGGGGGGGGGGGAGTGGCTTGCGGCTGCCGAGGCGCAGGTCTGTGACTAGCGCCGAGCAGTGAGGAGGGCCAGGGGTGAAGGCCTGGCGACAGGGGGCGCTAAACGCCCCGAAGACTGGCCTCCAGCGTTGTGGAGAATGAGCAGGAGGCCAACTCTGATTTAATCAGAGTCCGAAGCAGGCACCGACGGCGCCTGAGACAAAACTGTGCTCTCGGCATTCGCTCGGGACTCGAGCGAGGCGGCCGTGGGTGGGCAAGGACGTGGTGCACGACGGGACGACGTCACGACACGACCACCACAGTGTCCTTGCCCCATACTATCCTGTTTGGCCGAACACGCAGAGTTAGCCCTAGGTCCAGTAGCCTCGGAAGACGGGAAACAAACGGCCCCAGGCTCCGAACCAGAAACAAGGGCGCCATCCCACGGACCCAAATCTTCGCCCGTCTTGGGGTGGCAGCCTACCTCTGCATGACGCCAGTACATTCTGTGATTCTGAATCGTGCTGGCAACCTTGGCCTCCCCTTCGCACGTTCTACTCAGCTTGCGGCATTTGCCGTCGGGGAGGATCCAGTATCCAGCACACCTCTGACATATGATCACCCTACCGTGGCGGACGGGCCTGTGACCCAGCGCAGCTATGGCATTCAACCCAGCCTCCAACGCGGCGTCGGTCAAGGAAGGGGAGGAGGGGTCCTGGCCCAGCGAGGGAGGAACAGGATCTGACACCGCGGGGCTGCTCGCAGTGTGGCGGCGTGCCTGGGGTTCGGCCGCGAAAATGATGTCGGCGCGGCAGCGCTCTAGATCGCTGCCCTGGCACCTCCTAGCGGCCCCGCTGCACATAACTCGCAGTGTGGCTTCGCTCCTGGCAGACATATTGCACTTCCTGCAACGCCATTCAGCACGCGTCGGCAGTCGATAAATCTCGTGCTCTATGAGTGTCAAATTGATTCGCTCTACATACTGGCTCACTGGAATCGTTGGGGGCTCAAACGTCTTAGAGCACTCCCCAATGATCTGGACCGCGCGCGCCAAGAAACCCCAGGTGGCTTTGCAGGCCTTCAAATGGGCCTTCTCCGCGTCGAGACAAACCTGCGCATACTGATGGTCCTGGGCTCCAAGGCGCGCGAAAAAGTCGGCCCAAGCGTTACCCAAGAAACTGGTGATCTGTCCTTGCTCCAGAGACATGACCTCGTCCATGTCTCTGTGTGCAGGGACCCAAACAAACTCGGGCGGAGGCCTATGTTGCTCGAAGAGCTGGAAAATACGACGCCACACATCCGCGTGTCGTGACAAACCGCAGGCCAGCTGGGGACTCCAGCTCTGGCCTTCCTGCACAAAGGCTAAATGATCACTATATATTGTGGTCGCCTGGGGGGCTACCGAGAGAGCCATCAAACCCGCGTACCGCTCCGCACGGGGCACCGACTGGCGCCCAGGGAGCGGCCCAAACACCGCCCTCAAGGGCAGCCCAGAGTCCGACAACTCCACCGCGGCCCATCCACACCTACGCAGTTCAGGGCTCGCGTTCGCGAGCCCCGAGCCGTCAGTGTAGATCCGCCGACCCCAGGGAAGATGCGTAGCCCCCCAGTGGAACACAGGGCACTGCGTGGGTTGGGGGGCTATCTTGATGGGATGGTAAGGCAACCCGTACAGCTCCAGAGGGCCCCACTCAGGGTCGCCAAGCCCATTGTCCCCAAGACCCCGCAGATACTCCCTGCGCTCCAAGACCTCTTCAGAAAGGGATTCAACAGACAGCTCCTCAGGTGGGTGAAGCACCCCTTCACAGTTATACAACTGGTGCCCTAAAGTGCCAGCCTCAGAACTCACACACATCTCGCACTGGTGGCTGTCCGAGATCCCGAGGGCCTTCTTCCTTGCTGGGGGCCACAATGCGGAACCAAGCAATCTGCGGGCGCAGCCTCTATGTATCGGATTCTTCAAGCTGAGAATTGAGTTGCGAAGTGCACGCCTCCAGACTCCATGGGGATTCCCAACTATCGGCTGCATGTGGCTAACAATACGTAACATCTGCCATCGTCCAATGCTCTGTCGCAGCAAAAGCTTCACATCCCACGGCGTAGTGGTAAGAAGGTTCACGAGGTTGCCCTGGTCGTCGTATAGTATATGTGCCGACGCCATCTTCCAGTCCACCCTGTGCAGGCTGAGCGACACCGCTGAGAGAGGGCCATTGCATCTGGCCCACGTGTATTCACCATTCCAAGCTTCCATCATGGCAGCCCACGCCCGCTGTAGCTGACTGAGGGGTACCAATCCATCCCAAACTGTGATAGCATATCTGCATACTAGGTCTGTCGTGACGTCGAATATCGGGTCAAACCATTCATCGCTCTGTGTGGCAAGCCAAGCCGCAAGGCTGGCGTGTGATTTGGCCCCCACCAACGAGCCTGCCAGTGTGCGGAGCTTTGCCAGCGTGGCAGGGACGACCCCGCTAGCTCCAGCTCCATGCGCAGCAGCGGGCAGCAGGCCCGTGCGCCACAGAGTATAAACCTGGGCTCGTCCCCGTTGCAGCGCAGCCAACTTGCCCCTCCTGGCCAGGACGCCCATGACACGCTTTCTCTCTTGTATACGTCTGAGTCGCACCCCCGCAAGCTCGTGTCCTAGATTGCGCATGTGCTTGTGGCAGCGAAACCGAATGAATCCCCCAAGCTTCTTCGCCACCCGTGTCGCCTCCGTAGTGCCACCCACGCATCCACTTTTGTCTACCTGAATGATGAGACCCAGCGGCTGCACTTGGCGAATAAACCATCGTACTGCATGAAATAGGACGACCGCCTGAGAGGGTTCTGCACCTATCCATTGAAAGCTGACGTCGTCCATCAAAGCTCGTGGCACCACCTCCGCATACTTCCTGCGTAGGGCCTCCAAGGATTGGCAGAGAAGCAGGTGGACCATGGCGCAGGCGTGAGAGCATCCCGCCAGTATGCCCTGCGCGGAGGTGAACTTGGTGGACAGTGACCCGTAAGCTCGCACCTGCCGTGGTGCCTGATATGTGTGAATAAGCATCCAGAGTAATCTCATCGGAAATTGCATCTTACTGGCTCTGTCCAGCAGCGCGGTATATCGTATCGTCTCGAAACACTTGTACATGTCAATGAGTGCACTGACCGCATGCATGCCGTTGAGCTTCGCCGTCTCTGCAGCTAAGTTGTGTTGAAACGCAGCGTCGGTAGAAGTCGCCCCAGGCCTCGTGCCCCAAAAGGCAGTAGAAGGGTTGGCGAGCTCCCATCTCTTAGATATCCTTCGTCGTAATCGGCTCCAAATACGGACCACAGTATTGATGAGCGCGATGAGGCGGTGGCCCCCCGTGGGCTTGGGGAGCCTCACTAGCACCGTGGTGACCCTCTGCGTCGGCCAACACGCCAACCTCTCGCATTTGTGAAAGAGAGATGCAAGGACTCCCAATCCAATGTCCGATACTTGGGCCAGTGCACGGGGTTGAATCGAAACCTGCCCAAGCGCCGTAGTGGCTTTGAATCGTCTGAGTATGTTACGAATGTCATCGATTGTGATCTCAGGTAACTCCTCCCAATCTGCATGTCCTGCCGGCGTGGCGACCGCTGTGTCATCATGAATGGTCCAGACACCCTTCCAGAATTCCAAGCATTCATCTGCCATGTGGTGCGGTTGGCCACGGTCCTTCTCGGCATACTGCAACGTCTCTTGTAGCTCGCGCACCCTGGTGTACCTGTGCGCTTTGCCAGCCCCATTTTGAAATGCCTGCTTGGCCCACTGCGCCCATTCGATGCCAGCAAACTTGCGTATGGCCTCCGTAACGCGATTCACCTTGTCCAGGGCTTGGTCTATCCTGTCTAGGAAGTCAGGCTCATAAAACCTGTCGCGCAGACTGTGGAGCTGGAGTCGATCTTCATAATCAAGCAGCGGCCCAACCCAGTCAGTGCGTACAACTCGCGCGAAGAAACCCTGAAGGTCCCGACTGAGTTGCGCGAACAACCGCTGCTCCTTGGCCAGACCTTGGTCAAGACTGCCCAGGCTGTTGACATAGTGTCCGTGCTGGCCGTAAATGTCTGGCAATAGTCTTGCGGGAAAACGGTTCGCATCTGCTTCATCCATTATGCGCTGGAGGGCCGTGTGCATTCGTGTGTATGTGGAGCGTAGATGCCGACACCATTTGCCATACTGCTGGTAGGCACTCAACCGCTTCGGTCTCGGTGGTACGACTGCCTGCACTCGCTTCCATACCCATTGGTCTGGACCAGCTCGGCCGTGATAAAGTCCCCGTTGCGTCATGTCCATTATGTCATTGCGGTTGAGGATCTCATGCTCCATCGTAGCAATAACCCCATCCCACGCCGCGGCCAAGGTCACACCCTCTGAAGCTTGATCGATTAGCTGCTTCACGCGTGCCCATTGCCGTCTGGGTGGGAACCTGGCACAACCCACCTTCGGCACCGTCGGGAGAGGTCGAGGTATAACAGGAACGCGTGCCCATTGCTCATGCGCGCAGTATTGGAACCCCAAATGCACAGGCTGATGCGGAAAAGTCGCTGCCACTCCGACTTCACATCCTCGAATCCAATCGACCAAGGCCGCAGAGACGCAGAAATAATCCCTGGTAGTGCCAGGTTGCGTGGCATTGCATGTGGGTTGGGCTGGGACCTGCTGAACTCCATGTACCGAATGCATCCAGTCCAGTGTGCTCGATGGGTCCATGTTCCAGTCGCCTGCCACAATCCATGACTGTCCCAAACCATTGAGCGCCTCCAGGTATTGTGCCAACGTGGTAAGCAGATCCATATTCTCTTGATTGAGCCCCACCGAGTCGACCAAGTAGATGGAGACCAGCACTGTGCCTCCCCGTGGTCCCCAGCTGGCGTGCCCCACCGTGATTCGGCCTGGCGCGAGAGTCGGTGTGGTCAGCAGTGGCCCCATTCCAAGCCGCACATGCTTCGGTGCAAGAATAGCGCATCCTCCGCAAGTGCCGCCTCGGCCCGTGGGTGCGGCCGCAGTCCATACACCATGAAACCCGTGATGGCGCGCTGTATTCTGTAGCTCAGGGAGTCGCTGGTCATCGCCATGATGCTCCTGCAGGCAGACAATAGACTTGTGGCTGCGGGGCGCACTCAAGACTCCAGCCATGGCTCCATGAGACGTAAGGTTGGAGGTGAGGACCTGGTTCACGTTGGAGCCATTGGCATGCACCCCTTCGACCGAGCACACGACCAGGGCGATAAAAAAAACCCGATAACGGTCGAGGCGGTATCGACGAGAGCGGCCCCATGTTACGGGACCGCCCGCACGTTCCTGCAGCGTACACGGCGTAGCAGGAGTAGCAGCACTTCGTGAGTTTGTGCGACGGCTAGCGGCAGAGGCGCTGGGTCCCGTTGGCTCCCGAGGCGCGGACCTTGGGGAAGGTCTGACGACATTAAAGCCCGCATCCGCGCGGCTACCAAGGGAGCCCGTCGACAGCACTTGCCCTAGCCGCCCGCTGTGGAACCCTATCTTCAGCAGGATGTCGTATATGAGGTTGATGTCCGTCCAAAACTTCACCAACCAGAAGACTAACATGAACTTTACCAGGTAGGCGAGGCCGAAAGCCGCTTTGTCCAGCACCACATTTGTTGTGTCATGAACTTCAGGCTTGACCCGTGCGCTGCCGTTTGGCCTGAAGTGTCTCCATCGCATTGGCCATTCGCTTGATGGCCTCCCTGACCTGCGCCTCCTCCTGCGGAGGGTCCTCGCCCGTGGCATTGCGCAGAAACTCCCGCAACTCGTCCAGGTCATCTGTGTCCATGGGGACAGGCCTGGCTTGCGCCCCCTGCTGCTGACCCGCCGACGGCATGTCTGCAGGTCCACTAGGCGCAGCTGCGCTGGAGCTGCCTCCTTCAGGTTGCCCTGGTGCTGGCGATGCATCCGACCCTGCTGCAGCTGCCTTGTCCGCGAGCGCGCGCAGCTGGCTGAAGACCGTGGCCACCGACTGCGCGAGCTGGTCGTCCGCGCCCAGGCCCTGGAGCATCTCGCCCATCTTCTCGACCGAAATGTCGACTGCGGGAACGAGCGCGCGCAGGGAGCACTCGCCAGGTGCAGCCGTAGGTGCCTTGGCCGAGACTTTCCAGCGCAGCGCCTCAAGCTCCTGCACCTCGGCCGTGATCTCAGCGATCTGGCCCTCTGTCTCGGTGATCCTGTCATCCAGGCGCTTGCGCTGCTCCTGCAGGTCCTGCAGCGCGGCCTGGCGCTTGTCCTTCGCCTGCACGAGCGCGTCGATGCGGGTGGTATAGTGGTGGAGCTGGCCCGCGAATGGCTTCGCCTCAACGATGCGCAGCTTGATGGCCTCCCGTTCTTTGGACAGGGCCTCTCGCGCGCCCATGATGGCTGGGTCGGTGCTTGAGCCCAAGGCACGGAGGAGCGAAGCAATCTCTGCAAGCCGTCCCTGGGGGTCTTCAGCATCGCTGGCTCCCTCGCCCACGGCAGGGGCGCTGGCCGCCTTGAGCTGTGCCTTGAGCTGCGCGATCTCGCGGTCCTTGGCCGCCACATCTGACCAAGGCGGCACACTGTCCCCTTTGCGCCGCACACTGGTCGAGGCTGGCCTCTGTGTAGGTGGGCCGTCGGTGGGCTTGGGGCCTCCGAAGCTGGCCCCCTTAGCAACTCGACAGCTGGTACATTGCTGGCAATCTCCCCGATTCCACCATTTGGCCCCTGTGCGCGGGTGCGTACACCAGCGGCAGAGCCATGGGGCGGCCCAGGTCCTGCGATCCGAGACAGCTGCGGACTTGTTCGCGGCAGCGGCATGCGAAGAGGAACCATTAGCCATGGAACGCGGGAAGAGGTGTGAGCAATACAGCGGTACTGTCTCGAGGATGTGTCGAGGATATGTGCCTTGCAACAGGCGGAAGCAGTTGGGGGCCGTGGATCCCCCCACGCCACTCGTCAAGCCCTGAGCCTCACGCTACGGACTTGAGCCAAAATGGCTACGGAGGGGGGGGGGGGAGTGGCAAAGGGGGGAAGGAACAGGAGCGAGCAGAAGGAGCGGAAACCCTCGTGGGGCGTCCCTGCAGGGCACTCCTCGGGCCCTCCGCGGGCCTCTCCTGAGCTCTGCGACGCCCCGCCCCCAGGGGGCGCGCCATGGGAGGCCTGCAGGGCCGCCCTTTGGTGGCCGTTCCGAGGGGTCTCCAACAAATCACAGGATTCCCCATCATGTTTCCATGTTTTTTGGATGTTCGTTTTCCCCCCCACTTCCCATAAGTTTGCACATTTTTCCTGGGAATCGACGATTGGTTGTGTCTGTGTGTTTTTCTCCCTCCTGAAATTAGAGTTTGGGGGTATGCTGTAGGGCCCGATCTGCGTGAGGGGTGCGCCCATACCAGCATATCCCGAGGTCGGGTGTTGACCCCCCCGGGCGCGGTCTCGGGGGCCTCCCGGGTTCCCCCGCCCCCTACGTGCCCCCTAGGGCGCACGTGAGGGACTAGGAGGGGGAGTAGGACGAGGAGGACGTCCACGAAAGGAGGAAGAGAAGACGAGAAAGAGGACGAGGAAGGAAGAGTACGAACAAAAGCGGGATGGAAACGATGGGTCAAGCTTTGCAGATACCACTCCTGCTGGACAACTCTCCCCCATGCGTCAACCAACCATTCCGTCCCACCGTCCTCCCTCCCTCCTCCGCCTCCACACTCCCGCTCAAACCCTTTTTTTCTCTCTCTCTCTCTCTTTCTCTCTCTCTCTCTCTCTCTCTCTCTCTTGTTGCTTGAAAAAACACTTTTGGGGATGGGGGTGTCTTGAAGGATGGCGACCACGGCGGCGCAAGAGGCGCTATCATGGGTGTCCGGCGCAGATCCAAGAGATCCGCACGGCCCTTCGAACGTCTACGTGTGTGCCGTTGTTGATTCTTCGGTATTTGCCGCCCTCTCCAGCTTCACCCCGAGATCCCGCTTGGTTGCTAGGTCCTCGTGACCTCTGTCCCACCCCGAACCGGTGCAGCCAAACGTACAGGAATGAGCTTTTCGCTGCCTCGCGAAAAGAACGCAGCTGTCTTCGGGAGCCGTTCCAGGCGATTTCCTCGCTCAAAAAGAAGACGCAAGTGGGGGTGATTTCCCACAGCAAATGTTGCCCGAAAGCCACAGCGAGCGATGTCGCGCAGGCGGCGTCGGCCGAAACAGTGGACAGCGTCCGTGGCGACACCGACAACGAGTTCTGCTAAGAATGGGCAAACCATGCGTAGAAGAAGAAGAAGAAAAAGAAAACTAGACTCAAAGAAATGTCGGAGGCCCGTGCGCTTTGGGGGATCGGGGCTGGACCCCCCTCCCTGGCGTCGGAGGCGCCGCCAAGAGGGCCAGGCACCGATCCAATTCGCCGGCCCAACGGGCCAGGGCGTGCTAAGATCTCCGGTAACTGGTTAACAGTATTAACAGTATTTCTAGTTCGCGCGCGCGGGGCGGCCCCTGGGGGTCCCCCGGCGAAAAGTACCCCGACCAACGCCCGGTCGCCGCCCGACCGCCGCCCGACCACCGCCCGACCAAGTCTACTCAGAGATGGTTTTCCTTCTGGGTGCGGCCTCTCAGGCTCCCCAGAGCGCGCTCAGAGTGCCCCAAGAGGCCCCCAAGACTGCCCAAGAGGCCCCCGAGACGCCAAAGAGCGCTCGAAGACGCCGAAGATGACCCCAAGACGGCCCAAAAGGCCCCCAAGACAGCCCAAGAGGCCTCCAAGACGCCCCAAGAGCCTTCCAAGAGGCCTCCGAAGAGAGCCCCAAGAGGCCAAAATCGTTGATTTTCATTGTTTTTTTCTATGTTTTTTGTGTTCTGGCTTTTTCGGCTTCCGGACGCTCCAAGACGGCCCAAGAGGCCCCCAAGACCGCTCCAAGACGGCCCACGAAGCTCCCAAGACGGCGCCGAAACGACCCAAGAGAGCCCTCAAGACGGCCCAAGTGCCGCCCAAGACGGACCAAGAGGCCCCAAGACGGGCCCAAGAGGGACTCAGGAGGGATACCGAGAACTCAAAAATGGAGCCCTCCGTCCCAGAAGGCGCCCAGGAGGTCCCAAAGAGGCCCCAAGAGGCCTCCAAGAGGCCCCAAGATGTCGCCAAGAGGCCCCAGGAGACTCCCAGGAGGCCCAAAAGAAGCCCCAGAAGGCTTCAAACATGTCTCCCAGGCGCCCCCGAACGGCCTCTCAACAGACCCCAAGAGGCCCCCCAAAGAAGCATCTTGACGACGACTCTATTTCGCCCCATCGAGAGACGACCCCCAGGGAACTGCTTCACCATCAAAACTCCCCACGCAACGCGTCCGAACGACACCCGCCCCCAAGAGCGCAACATGGGCAACGAACACACAGACAAAAACCAGCGATGCCATATCACGGGCCGGCGGAATGAGCGAAGCGATTCAATAATAAGTCTGCGCGGCGGACCTCTGAAAGTACATGCGAATGCAACATGTGATTGTTAAGATGCCACCGTTCCGACCCTCCAAAGGCAAGAGGGGAATTATGTTGCACCGTCGAGGGACCTTCCCTCCAGGGCCCCCACGGGACCCGCAAGAGTGCTACAAAAGGGCCCCAAGAGGGCCCCAAGAATCCCCCAAAGGAGTCCCAAGAGGGATCCGAGAGGCGTTTTTCAGGGCTCTGTCGTCATCCTCGGTGTCATCCTTCTGTCTGGCCCATTCGTCCACGTCGAATCCGCGTCGAATCCACGTCGAAGCACGTCGAACTTGTCGAATCCGCGTCGAATCCGCGTCGGACTCACGACAAATCCGCTTCAAGCCCACGCCAAATCCGCGCCGAATCCGCACCGAGCACCCGCGTCGGGCACAAGAGAAACACATCCTCCTCGAGGCGAGACAGAAGGGCCCCGTAGACGCGACTGAAAGTTCCGACCCTCCTGCGGCAAGGAGGGGTGGGGGGGAGATGTTTGATGAGGTCTGCGTTTCGGGCTCCAGGGCCCTGCTCAACAAGTGCAGGAGCAAAGAACTGCATTAACACAAACGCGAGGACTTGCCGTCGCTTGGACGTCCATTTCCCGTTCATGTTTCGGTTTCGTGCGTGTTTGTTGCTCGATGGTCCAGGATGGTCCACGATGGTTCTCGCCGAGAAAAAATGCACACGTCCGAGCGATGCCAAACGGAGGTCAGCGCGGATGTCTGGGATCCGCGCTGGACCCCCCCTGCCTGGAGCGCGAAGCGCGCCGGGGGCCAAGGGCGGCGCTCGATGCGCCGCCAGAGGGGGCCCCAGCGCCGATCCGAGACACCTGCGCGCAGCTCCAGCAGTTTGTCCTTATGCCGTTGTTCCTCCTTCGAGGCGATCGGTGGTTCATAAACGGGGTCCCGAGGGGTGGAGTCCTAAGGGCGAGGTTCTTCAAACAGTGTACATCCACCCTTGGATCCCTTCCCATCCTCAGGACCCCATCAGGGGCGACGATGGGAGGGACCAGCATGGTGGGGGACGCATCGACCTGGACTCGGCGACACACCGCTGGCCGATAGATCGGCAATAGGCACCCCACAGTGAATCCGCACCTTCCTGGGCAGGTTCTGGCTATCGGGCACCTGTCGGCGATCCATGGGCGATTGTGGGTCGATGCTTCCCCCCATTTCCCTATCCCCCCCTTATCGTTGCCCCTGACCCCGTCCCTCGGGACCCCATCTTTGAACAACCGACAGCAGGCGCGGGGCGATCGTTCGTTCCCGGGGCTCCTGCCGCCCGCCAGCCCACCCGCCGCGAGGCCCGCCGCCAGCGCGGCGCCGGCGGTCGCCGCGTTGGACGCGGCCTCTGCCGGCCAGGGAGGGAGGGGGGAGCAGGACGAGCCACACACGGGCTGCGCTCTGCCTAAGTGCGCCCCCCTCCCTCCTCCATTTCCCCTCCTCCTCCTGCTCCTCCTCATGCTCACCCTCCTCCTCATCCTCCTCCTCTGCCTCCTCCTACTCCCCCTCCTCCTCCTCCTCCTCCCTCCCCTCCTCCTCCTTCTCCTACTCCGCCGCCTCCTCCTCCTCTTAACCCAACCCTAAAACCCCAGGACGTCCATTGATTTATTGTGTGGGAACGTTACGCTTCCATATTAAAACCATCGAAGCCCAAGAAACCCAGGGCACCATAGAGGCAAGCAGGGTGTTTCTTGGCATGGGCTTCCACTGTTCGTTCTGGTCGGCATTGCGCCTCTAAGAGGGGCACGCAGTACTGGTGCGTCCGTCTGCGCCACATCCCAGCCCTTCCCCTCTCTCCCCCGAATCTCTCTGCAAGCAGGAAGCGGCTCCTGAGGGAGAGCTGGGACCAGCTTCTCATCCTAGACCACCGCCTCATCATATCCCAAGCGTGGGATTATTAGTATTGTTATTATTGTTAGTATTAGTATTCCCTATCTAGGCTCTGCCTAGAAGGGTTCTTACTCTGTTGGCTTAAAGGGCCGGGCAATGGACCCCGCCCCGGGCGGTTCCCCCGGCATCCGCCCCGCGGTTCCCCCAGTCCCCTGGGAGCTGTAGCTTTACCTTTAGCTTTAGCATTAGCTTCACCTTCAGCTTAGCTTTAGCTTAGTGTTAGCTTAGATTTAGCTTAGCTTTAGCTTAGCTTTAACTTAGCTATAGCTTAACGTTAGCTTAGCTTCAGATTAGCGTTATGTTAGATGTAGTTTAGCTTTAGCTTAGCTTCAGCTTAGCTGTAGCTTAGCTGTAGTTTAGCTTTAGCTTAGCTTTAGCTTAGCGTTAGCTTAGCTTTAGCTTAGCGTTAGCTTAGAGTTAGCTTAGCGTTAGCTTAGCTTTAGCTTAGCCTTAGCTTAGCTGTAGCTTAGATGTAGCGTAGCTTTAGCTTAGCTTTAGCCTAGCTTTAGCTTAGTGTTAGCTTAGCGTCAGCTTAGCATTAGCTTAGATTTAGTTTAGATTTAGCTTAGCGGTAGCTTAGCTGTGGCTTAGCGGTAGCTTAACTTCAGCTTAGCTTTAGCTTAGATGTAGCTTAGGTTTAGCTTAGCTGTAGCTTAGCTTTACCTTAGCTTTACCTTAGCTTTAGCTTAGCTGTAGCTTACTGTAACTTAGTTTTAGCTTAGCTTTAGCTGAGCGTGAGCCTAGGTTTAGCTTAGCTTTAGCTTAGCTTTAGCTTAGCTTTAGCTTAGCGTTAGCTTAGCTTTAGCTTGGCGTTAGCTTAGCTGTAGCTTAGCTTTAGCTTAGCCTTAGCTTAGCTGTAGCTTAGCTGTAGCTTAGCTTTAGCTTAGCTTTCGCTTATCGTTAGCTTAGCTTTAGCTTAGCTTTACTGTTGCTACTAATGCTGCTTTCCTAGGGGCTCCAACTCCCAGGTAGGGTCGCACTGGGATGATTATTATTATTAGTGGGACCCATCCGCCTCAATCACCTCCCGCCTTCTCCCTCCCCAGAGCCACTCACACTCAGACTCAAACTCAGACTCACTCAGACGTAGACTCACCTACACTCAGACTCAATCACACTCTGACTACGCACACTCAGGTTCACTCGTATCCAGCGCAGTCACACCCCGACTCATAACCAAACCATTATCAAACACACTCATACTCAGACTCTCTAACCCATTCACTCGCTCTGGCTCGCTCTTACTGAGATCACACACGCACCCACCCACACATACTCACGGATTCCGTGCCGCACCAAACACTCAGCTTAATCGTACCCGGACTCGTACATAGGGACCACTGGCACTCAGATCATTCAAATCAAGCTTCACTCATACTCGATGTCCCTCACATCCGGTCGCTCATACTCAGACCCAATCGTAATCAGACTCACTCAAATTCAGAGCAGCCTTGTGCGCATGCCAATTCATACCGAGACGTCCACGGTCACCACGATGAAGCAGATACGGTGCGGGCGCGGGCGCGAGAACCCCTCGCGAGAAACCCAACCCCGAGAAAACCCGCACGCGAGATGCTCCTGAGGGGAACCCGGAGCATCCTGCACGCAGCAGCTTCTTCGGCGGCCGCGGGAAGCCATCGCGCAGCGCGCGGAGCGAAGGAACCCGGGGACACCCTGACGACAAGCGCATGGGATTCTTCATGCGCGCCCCTGCCGTCGGGCTGCTGGAAAGAAGGAACGATACACAAGGAACGGAGCCCCTCTTTGGCCCCACAAGCGCCTGCGTGCACGAGGAAGGCTGGAGGAAGAGCCACAGAAGGAACCGAGGAATCTCCAGCCCCTTTTTTACCCCAACTGCTCCTGATTTCAAAGACTTGGCTGTGCCTTAGTGGGCCCTGGAAACGGCAAGGCCGTTTTTTCACCGGTTCCGTTTCGCCGTGTTTTTTTTGCCAGTTCCGACACCGTTTTTTTTACCGGTTCCGTCGCCGTTTTTTGACGGCTCCAGTTCCTACCCTGGAGCCGTTTTTTTTGCCGTTTCCGGTCGCTGTTGTTTTGCCGGGACAATTTTTCGGAAACGGTGAAAAAACGACCCTGCCGTTTCCGGGGCCCACAAAGGGCTGTACTGCACGGCACTCGGACCACACAAGGCGGAGCCGACCGCTGGGCGATGCAGGAGCCCCCTCGCGACGGAACTGCGGCCCTGCCCGTCCGGAAGCACGCGCGCGCCTGCGGCTGCGAGCGCGCTCTCTTCGGAGCCCCCACGACGGCCACGATGCCCCGGGCACGGCACCTGGAGCCTTGTGGGCCCCGGACACGGCAGGGCCGTTGTTTCACCGTTTCCAAAAAAGTGTCCCTTAAAAATGGAAACAGCAAAAAAACGGCGACCGAGAACGGCAAAAAAACGGCTCCAGGATCGGAACCGGAGCCGGAACCGGTCAAGAAACGGCTACGGAACCGGTAAAAAAACGGCGTCGGAACCGGCAAAAAAACGGCAAAACGGAACCGGTCAAAAAACGGCCCTGTCGTTTCCAGGGCCCACTAAGACCTGGAGCACCAAGGAGGGGAGCCGACGAGGAGCGTTGCACGGGTCTTCACGCGCGCAAGCTGAAGTAAGGACGTCTCGAGGGGAACATCGCCCGCCTGCGGCCTTGGACGCGTTTGCTGGGGGCCCGAAGAAGATCCACCACCACCGCCACGTCGGTTCCTCCTCTCTCCTCTTCCCAGCGAAAGGGAGGGGGGAGGGAGGTGGTGGTGGTGGTGTACGGCAAGTTCGTGCCGTGTCGACCCCGGCGTTGGTTCCCGACACCGCGCTGGATCGTTCAACCTTGAACGATCGGCCGTCTCCGCAACGTCCGATCGTTCAACATCGACCGATTTTGGGTCGCCGGCGGCGTTCAACGTTGAACGCCGCTGGCGGGGTCGCCGCTGGTCGACACGACACGAACCTACCGTACATTTTTGGGCCCCCGATTTAGGGCATGACCACCGCAGTGCAGCAGGCATGGCATTTGGACCACGCAAGGGGGAGCCGGCCAGGGTGTCGCACGGGCCCCAGTCTCGGGGGCAGAGTGTGCGGATGTCTCGGGCGAAACGCCGTCTTCTCGCTGTGGACGCGTTTCTCCAGGGCTGAACCTAAATGGTGTTTTTCGTTTTCGTTCTGTTTTCGTTTTCCCTCGTTTTGTCTTCAGCCCGCCTTTGACGCAAAACGAAGCCGAAACGACAACGGCACAAGAAATCGCCAAAGCACCGTTTAGGTTCACCCCTGAGTTTCTCTCCAGTCCTAGGAGCACCGCGATGTAGCAAGCATGGGAGCCGACACGGGCCCGTTCGTGCCCAGACTGGTGGGACCTCTTGAGCAGAGTGGCCGTCTGCGGGTGTGGATGCCTCTCGCGCTAGAGCCCCATACACACTTCCACAGCAGGCATGGCATGTCGGCCACTCAACGAGTAAGCGGCCAGGGGTATGACACATGCCCGTTCTCGCCCACATTGGTCGGATCTGTCTGAAGGGGCCCTGGGACACACAAATTCGCCGGCCCAACGGGCCAGAGGCGTGCTAAGATCTCCGGTAACTGCTTAACAATTTTCTAGTTCGCGCGCGCGGGGCGGCCCCTGGGGGTCCCCGGACGAAAAGTACCCTGACCAGGTCCCTGGGCAACTCCCTGTCGGGGATGGTTCTGCTCCTGGGCGCCGCCCTCAGGGCCTCCCAAGAGCCCCGAGAAGAGCTCAGAGACCCTCAAGAGGCCCTCAATATGGTCCAACAGAGCTCCAAGACGCCATAATATCGCTCCAAAACGCCTAAGATGGCTCCCCGACGCACCAAGAAACCTCCAAGAGCCCTGCCAAGAGGTCCCCAAGAGGCAAAATTCATAGATTTCCCGCAGGTTTTTGAAGGATTTTCGCATTCTCGCCTTTTCCGCTTCCCGACGCTCCAAGACGACCAAAGAGGCCCCAAAGATCGCCCCAAGACGGCCCAAAAGGCCCCCAAGAGGGCTTCAAAACGGCCCAAGAGCGCCCCATGACAGCCCAAGACGCCCCCAAGACGGCCCAAGAGGGCCCCAAGAACGGCCCCAGAGGGGGAACACGAAACAACATTTCGAGCCCTCAGTCCTAAGAGCCGCCCCCATGGGCCCCCAAGAGCCCCTCAGAAGGCCCCGAAGAAGCCACCAAGAGGCCCCCAAGTGGCCACAGGAAGCCCCCAAAACGCTGCCGCGAGCACACGGTATCCCAACGAACATCCAACAGGCTTATAACCCACAACCCCGGCATGGTCTCGGGACTTGCCGGAGGCAACTGGATACACACTGGAATCAACATCCTAATACCCAAAGCGGACGATCCATCGCAAAGCTGGAAACTGCAGTCGAAGAATGAAGCGAGGATGATGACGAATGGGCCGGCGGAATGAGCGAAGCGATTAAATAAATAGACACAAATAAAAGGATTCACCATATGTTCCTATATTTTCTGGGTTTTGTCTTCCCCCCCACTTCCCAAATTTTCATATATTTTCTGGGGAATCGACGATTCATTGTGTCTGTGTGTTCTTGCTCCTCCTGAACATGCCAGTTCTCGCCCACATTGGTCGGATCTGTCCAGCAGGATGGCTGGTTGTGGCTCTGGACACGTCTCCTGTCAGAGCCCCAGGATCACAGCCACATAAAAGGCATGGCACTCGGGCCTCTCAAGGGGGAGCCGCCAGGGCGCTCGACAGGGGCTGGTTCGCGCATGGATTGGCGGGACCTGTCAGGCAGAATGGCCGTGTATGTCCCTGGGCTCGTCTGCTCTCAGAGTCCTCCTGGTCACCGCGGTGTAGCGGGCACAGATCACTCACGCTTCGACTTGCGAATGCTCAGTCGCACAGGAAAGTACCAGAACATGAGATCAT